GTAATTTCTTTTGTTTTATATAGTATTATAAATTTCACTAAAATTGTATAAAAAATGGGGGCGCTGAAAAATCATTGATTTACAAATGGGGCGGTAAAAGAGATAATTTTGATATACTCTGGTTTAGATCATACGCTGAAATTGGGTAAATAAAGAAACGTCTAGAACATAGAGGCCATTATCGTTTTTTTATTTTTTTTTTTACTTTTTTAATGAATGTTATAAACTAAAATGTAGTGACAATGCATAAGAGTAGCTAATATTATTACAGTTATATAAAACTATGACTAGATATATTTCCTAATTATTCTTCTACTAGCTTTTGCACGCGACTCTCCGCGTAGAATTAAAAAAAAAATAAGCTATGTATTCTTCCAGAGTTTCTCTACATCTATGTTGCATTTCATCGAAAACTGTTAAGCAGTTTAGACTACCTCTAACAAACATCCATCCAAACTTCCGCATTTTTTTAGTAACAATGTTTAATAGATCAATAACTATTATCTTTCCAACACTTTTTTTAACCTCAGTGTAAGCTCATAGTTAAATTTAACCCAGTGACAAATTGTTTCACGGTCGACGCCATATTTCAAATACTTGGAACCTTCTCGAAAGTTATACGAAATGTAAACAAGCAACAAATGTCTTTATATCACTAGCTGCTGCACGTGACTTCGTCCGCGTGAAATTAAAAAATATAATCCAAGTTACTCATTAATAACTTAGCTTTTTAATGGTGAAAGAATTTTTGAAATCGTCCTAGTAGTTTTTGAGTTATTCCAATAAATACGAATATACATCCTCTTTATAATATTAGTATAGATAGCTATTGCTGGCAACTATGCTCGCGTGAAATTAAAAAAAAACAATAGAAAATGTAGCCTATGTTACTCACAGATAAATTACCTTTCTAACGGTGAATTTTTAAAATCGACTTAGTAGTTTTTACGTGAATCTAATACATACAAAAAAAAAAACAAATTATTATAATATAGATGTGAATGAACACGGGAACTGTTTACAATACACAAAATAGGCTTACAACCATTTAGAGGTTATTATAACCCTGGCAACATTAATGTTAGATTTTTACGCACTATAACGTCATACTGACGGTACTACGGTCACGTAGGCGTCACCTCGACGGGGGGCCAGACCTCTAGTGCGGCCATGAGTTAAACGTGACTTCATACACGACAAGTTCGTTAACTAAATATCGGAAATCAAAACTATCAACTCATCTGCACTAATATAATACGAAAGATTTGTATTTTTGTATGTATTGAAATATCTCAAAAAATACTGGGGCGATTTCAACAATTCTTTCACTAATAAATTGGTCACGGAATAACATAGGTTTTGTTTATTAAAAAATATTTTGCGGACGAAGAAGCGAGCGACAGCTAGTACATTATAAAGCCGATTTCCAAAAATAAACTAACTTTTGCTTACAAATTTAGTTGTGAAACTAAAATAACTTCTATGTTAGTGCAATAAATTCTTGGTGAATTGTTTTTTTTTAAATCGCGAAGTAGTTTTAGAGTTTTACTCCTTACATACAAAAAGAGGAAAAAGTTTTATTCCCTCTTTAATAGTTAAAATATAATTTCTTAAAAATAATGCAAAGGTACATCTTGTAAGCCAAATATCATAATTTATACAAAAAAAATTAAGAATGTGATTATTATTAAAAAAATTAATATGACACATTAAAGAAAAACTCAAGTTTTATTCAAACCTTAAAAATGTAATACTTAATAACATTGCCAAAACATATAAAAACAAGTTGACCTTGTAATGGGTTTTACGAATACTAACATATCAACTTATACGCAATTATTCGTATAGTAAAACGTAATATAACTAACATTAGAACATAGCTTTCGGTCGTGACTCCGTCCGCGTGGAATTAAAAAAAAAACCAAAACTGCCTATGTTATTCATAGATAAATTACCTTTCTAACGGTAAAAGAATTTTTAATATCGCCCCGTAATTTTCGAGTTATTTCAATACATACAAAAATACAAATCTTTCCTCTTTATTGTAGTAATATAGAAGTACAGATTGACAATAAATTTTCATAAGTCACATGTACGTCATGTATTTGTTCCTATAGTAGCTTTTTCTATCAACTCTGTCTGCAAGGAATTAAATGTAAGCAGAGTTTTGTTGCCAGTTTCTCCCAAATAAGAATAAAACCACAAACACTTGACACTGGCCCAATCCACTGTGGGAGAGCCATAAACAAGAAATAGATAGATAGAAGGAATAAAAAATTATGTGTTATTTCCAACTATGTTCTAAATTTGTGCCGAATTTCAATATAGATAGTGCTGTTCCGGAGATACTTTGCAACATCCATCCATCTCTACTTTTGTATTTATGTTATATAAATGTTATATAATATAAAAAAAATATTATATAAAAATATAGAAGTCCACCGGCTGCGGAATCCGATGATTCAAGCAACCAGTGGTCAGAGCTGCAGAGAATATTAGTATTTATAATATTAGTAAGATTTTCTGACACATTTTGTCTATTACTACAGGAATTTCGCTCAAAAATCTAGGTATAGGACTACAGCCCTGTATAAATCTGAAAAGGCCCTAAATTGAGATACGAATATCAGTTTAAGTATGAATGTTGTCGCAGTTGGAACCTACTGTTAAACGCAATTTGCAAATTAACGTAAATATTAACTCAAGTTTGTTTAAACAGCTGTTAATATAAAATCGCAAATAAAATGGCCTTTTACATTTACAACTAGCTGTTGCCCGTGACTTCATCGAGACAATATTAAGACAAAAAAATATATAGACGAATTGAGTCCCTCCTTCTTTTGGGAAGTCGGTCAAAAAGTAGCCTATAATATGCCCATTTATGTTGGCTACCCTTCAATGAAAGTCCCGTTGAAATCTGCACAGCCGTTTCGGAGATAACACGGAACAAACGCGGCTTGCGGACAGACAGACAAATTTTAAATATAATTCTCATTATCAGCAATGCACACATGACCTCCCCGAAATATGAAAATTTTCTTTTGATGTTACAGACAAGTTTATTAAATGTATAGATATCAATAGAACTTTAATGCCTAGTTTGTACCAGGATAGTAATTTAGTACCAAGTAATAATATTCTGATTCTGAATAATGAATTAGTCAAGTAGATTAGAAGTCATATTGTATATTTGAGTAGTTTATAGGGTTCTGAGGAATGTTTTATGGACTTTGAAAGTGAGGCAGCTTATTCATGCTATACACTGGCAAGCTAGTATGTACATCCAGACTATTGCTGGCATGGGTTGACACCAGGGGTCGGCTTTAAGCCTGTATCTTTTCCTCCTGGTAATGGATGCTCCAACATTAAACATACAGGAGGAACCCTGGTGTATCATTTATGCCGGTGATATCATACTTGTTGGAGGATGAATGGAGGAACAGAGCAGGTTGGAAGAATGGCAGGTTTAGAGATGGACTTAAAATCAATAGGACCAATACGGAACACTTATTCTGCGGTTTTAATGCTTGATCAGTTTCTCTCTCTTCATGGGGACAAGGACAAATATTAGATGATCTCTACTATCTATACTAATATAAAGAGGAAGGTATGTATTTTATTCACACAAAAACTACATAGCCGATTTTCAAAATTCCTTCACAATTAGAAAGGTAATTTATCTGTGGGTATTTGATTATTATCTATACTATTATAATAAAGTGTTAACATACACTTTGATGCCTAAGATGTCAGCAATCACAGCATATTTTCGAATAACTCTTTTTTTAATAAAAAGCCCTACACTTACATCATGCTTTAGGCTACATATTCTCACGTCGTTAAACTTATGGGTAAATATTTTGGATAAAAACTCTAACGTGGGAAAGAGACCATAAGTTGTTACCAACATTAAGGAAGCAAGGTTGCCATAGTATGACATCATTTTGACATTTGCATTTGATAATTTGACAAATGTGAACAATAAGATGATTTTTTTTATAATTTTATGCGGATGATGTCGCATGGGAACAGCTAGTAGATTATAATGGATGGATCTACCTTACTAATATTATAAATGTTAAAGGTTGTATGGATGGATGTTTGTAAGATGGTATTTCTTAGTTGAACAGATCACTGTAAAACTTAGTATAGTCTGAAATACATAGGCTACTAAAATCTTTTAAACAGGGTATAAGAAAAGGGTAAATGTTCCATTTACTTTTAACAGACTTTTCACATAACAAATGGATAGGATTATATTAACACTATTGAAACACATAATTCTTCTATTTCAGTTACCTTGTACTAAAATAATGCTATGATAGTATCAGGAAATGATGACAAACCTTAAAATCTATAAATAAATTACGCAATACATACATGTATCAACTTGTTCAAGACAATAATAGAAGCTAACAGAAGTTTCCAGAAAACTATTACTACACTACGATTGACAAAAGCCTTAGTATTGTCGTAAGTTTAAAAAAAGTTTTAGTAAATAGGTTTGCAATATTAGAAATTTCTAAATCTCAACTTTCACTAAAATATTAGAATAAGGTAAAGTCGCATACTTATAAGGCTAGAAGCTTTCGGATTATGCAAATACAGTACAGCTACTCAAAGGACAAAGAACGTAGTTGACCCAAAAACCCTACCAGTTTTGAGGTTATATTAGCCATAAATTATTAAATCTTTGCAATCATTAGTTTAAACATAAACAGATATGTGTAAAGACAACTTCAAACTTACCCGGATGCTTCCGTGGGTGGGTTTTTAGTAGAAAACACCTTATGTTACGACAAATTTTGTTTCTCCGTATGCAACAAGATTCCAATAGAAATTGACAGATAACTGATGGTCGTCCAAAGTTCCAGAAAAAAAATGGCGGAACGATTTTAAACCGATTACGTCATTTCGCGGGAAATTTGAAATTGCCGTTACACTATACATTTATATTAATAATTAATTTAAACGATAGATTAATATTTTCAAAAACTCACCTCATAAAGGAATCCGTAATGTGGAAAACCCAATGGTTTTATAAGCTGGTTAACACATCAGTTATAATTGTCGAATTCAGTCCAAATCCGTGCGCTGTTGCCAAACCGTTATTGCGTCAGATAATGAATATCTTTCTAAAACACACATTTCAATGCACAAAAGCATTCCTTGAATACGTTTCTATTCAATATTAATTGAAATAATGCAAAATGAATGCTTTAACATCAAGATTAAGTAACTTTAGAACAAAGAAAGTACAACAACCGTAAGGGCGGCAACGTCGCTTCCACTTTGATAATGATGAACAAAGAAACTGTTTTTTTTTTCTTCTGTTAAGTCAGTCTTGCTTATTTTACTCGTACAATAATTAAGTTACGTTAAGATATCCAGTTAATAACTTTTTAAAACTTTTAACACAACAATCCTATACGATGAACGTTACGAAATTAACTGACCTAAACTCTACGAACTTCGGTCGTTCGAGTTGTTTTTGTTTCGAGGCTGTGTAGTAAACAAAGATGAAATGTTGCCATAATAAAAAATAGTTAATTTTGGTAGAAAACCTTTACAGCTGTGATATTATTTTTGATGATCGTATTTGTTGCATTCTTTCTACTAGTTTTGACCCGCTACGCCGTCCGCGAGGAATTAAAAAATAATTAAACACGTATGCCCAATTTCATCGAAATTCGTCTAGTCCTTTAGCTTACAAAATCTAAAAATATCCTTTTATCCATCGAAACATTCGCATTTATAATTTTAGTAAGATTATAAACACAGGGACATTTTGCTACATATTCCTTCGAACTATTTATTTTGTATGACTCTAAAGTACAGTCGGCATCGTTTGCAATGCTCCGGTTATTCGAAAGGTGGCTCTATTGATATTTTTAATATGTTTCTTTAGCACAATTACCAATAAAGTTTTGAGTATGATATAGTTTAAACATATATTGTTTCCTCTATTTTTGTCATTCAAAGGAAAGAGATAAAATCTTTGTGGTAGGGATTTTTAGGGTTAGAAATAAATAAAATTTTTAGAAAATTATTTATTTATTAATACATAACAATATATTTACAATTTTTGATAAAAACGTACATATAAAATATATTTATTTGTTAGTTATTATGCTTTGATTTTTAAAGATAAAGATTACCAGTTAATTAACAATTTGACTGTTACTAATACATAAAAATATGAAAAAGGTGGAAAATAACTTTTGTACGACAAAAATCAACAATTTTAACCATTTGTTAATTTTAAATATAAAAAAGATAACATTATATCAGATCGAAATTCGAAACTGAAAGGAGATCAATTTTCGAAACTGTACTGTTCATAAAAATATATAAACATCTCAATCTTTTTTTACGCTTCAAAATAGCGGACAATCAAAAATCATTGTCGTAAAATCTTTCACCAAATTATAAACAATAGACAATCGATCTTTTCATAACCGAACTCACGCTTATAAGCCCAAAAGGGTAGGCAGAATCCCGGATCTTCATTTAAATTAATGAAAACCATTCCATTTCGTTTATCCGCTATTTAATTTAATTATATAAAACTTTATATTAATTATATTTAACATTAAAAACGTAAAATTATTTATAACTATACTAAGAAAGATATGCGTCAATACGTATTGAAGTTAAAATTCTAAACTTTAATGCAAAGATTTTAACTTAATCGTATTTAATAATCTTTTACAACTTTTTACTGTATTAATAATAGAATTACTGCAGTACGACAAGGTTCTTGTGACATTGACAGCTCTTGTCATATTTTAGTTTAACTTATTTCCATTTCCACCTATCCCCTTAGACGAAGTAACATTCGATTATCGCCATAGTTGGTCATCATCATCATCACCACCACTATAGGTCCCCACCGAGGGGCTAAGAGCCTACCCTAATATGGAGTGACTAGGCCATAGTCAACCACGCTGGCCAAGTGCGGGTTAGTGACTTCACACATGTCTTTGAATTTCTTCGCCGATATGTGCAGGTTGCATCACGATGTTTTCCTTCACCGTAAGAACGTCGGGTAAATTATGTACATATGAAAATTCGGCAAATGGAAAATCACATTAGTACATGACGGGATTCGAACCCAAGACCTGTAGATTACAAGTCAAGTGTTCAAACCACTGAGCCACCAACGTTCCTAGTTGGTTGGACGACCATAGTTGGTCGAAAAGTCAAAAATGTATGGATCTGACAACAATTTATAAGTCACGTTCTTGTAACGTATTCATTCCTATATCATTTGATAGATTTTGTCGCTTCCCCAAGCGATATCGCTAATCGATAGTTACTTTGTCTAGGTTGTTTAGATAAATTTTGTCTGTGTATAAGAGCACTTTGCATTGTTAAATTTCAAGTGTACTAAACAAAGCATAACATAGTATAAAAGACAACAAAACGAGACATGTTTTTCACACATTCATTTTTAAAAATAAAAAATTGATAAAAATACTATGCATTAAATTGAAACATGAATTTAACATTCAAAAATACATAATAAATTTAACTAGCAACACCAACATTTTTAATCTCAGTTACCAGCGTACAAAAATATACATATTAATGCATCTTTTTTTTTACATTAAAAGATTTAAAATAAATTGTCAACGAATCATAAGAAAATATGTCACATTGCTTGAAGACTGCTTTTTAAACGAATATTTTTTTATCCACTTACTGACTTTAAATTAAAAAGACTGAAATTACTTAAACTTATATGTAACTTACCTCAAGTAAAAGTTAGTAAAAAAAACTAAAAACAATGTTAGAAGATACCTAAATAAAGGTACTAAGTAATTAATAACTTGTTCATGCAAATTAACATAAAAAGATTTTACAAAATTACATAATAAGGCACTTTTAATAAACCATTTTGATGGTGCTTTCACAAAATTACTTATAGATATTTCTTCGTGTATGTATTTTTGACAAAAATTATCAAATTAACAATTTAAAATCTATAATTACTTTTAAAAACTAACTACTATAAGAATATTACTGCCACCTTTAATAGCACTGGATAAGTCGCTGCTTGAAAATTACAGCTTTTTTTTTAACTAATGATTATTATTTGTCTTAAAAATCATATAAAATATAAAAATAAAGACATATGGGAAAACTAATAACTTCTAATTTCCAACGCCATATACAACAAGCTATAAACGTCAAAAAGGCGGAAATCAAGCTGGCTTATAACTTATCCAGTGTTCAAAGGTCTGTGTTTTTTTGACAACAGAATTAACATTAAACACCATGATATATCTATTTCATAGACAATTTTTAAATTCCAAATTCCTACCAAATTGGTAATTAATTTTTAGCATGGTAACATCACTAACGACAATTAAATCCATAAACAAAAATTTCAAAGATTTCATCTTTTCCACAGCCATATTGGAATTAGAAAAAGAAAAATTTACATTCTAGTAATAGTTTTAATTGTTTTGTATTTTATGGCTTTTTATGGTTTTTCAATAAAATTTAAAACTTCGAATATGTAGATATTAGAGTATATAATTCTAAAACTAAAATTAGACTTAGACAATAACCTAACTTTAAAAAACCTTACAAATAAACTTGGTGTAAAGTTAAACTTAGGAATAAACTGATTATAAGCAAAATTTAAATTTGATTTTGCTTATACTCAGTTTATTATTTTTTTTAAATTTATACCGCGTTTATTTGTAAAGCTATTGTTATGTTTAGTATATGGGTTTAATTCCGTGATTTTAAACACATGATTTTCAATATTTTCAGTGTTTAGTCTATTTTCTTTAAAAGTCGACATTATAAATATACTATCTTTTCCCGTGCGGCGTTACCCGCATTAAATAATAAAAAAAATATATTTTACTGTTTACATTTGTCAAATTCTCAATTGCTAATGTCAAAACTCAAATGCACAGATAACGAAAGCCTTTGACAGTATATATTTTTTAAGGCTTTGCTATAAGTTTGTAGTTTCTGTCCCTTTCCCGCATTAGTTTTTTTCAAATTATTCACTCCCTAAGTTTAATAGCGTGAAAATATAGCCTAAAGCGTGTTATAGGGCTTTTTATTAAAGAATTATTCAAAAATATACTGTGATTGCTGACATCTTACATAACAAAGTATGTGAAGTTTTATTACCTACTAGCTGTTCCCGTGCGGCTTCATCCGCATTAAATTATGAAAATGTTATTTTATTGTTTACATTTGTCAAATTATCAATAGCAAATGTCAAACTGACATGACATGACAAACCTTGGTAATCTTGTTTCCTTGATGTTGGCAGCAACTTATGGTCTCTTTCCCACATTAGGGATTTTATACAAAATATTTACCCCTAAGTTTATTGGCGTGAAAATATATAGCCTAAAGCGTGACTTAAGTGTAAGGCTTTTTATTAAAGAAAGAATTATTCAAAAATATGCTATAATTGCTGACATGTTAGGCAACAAAGAAGTGTGTGTTTACGCTTTATTTTATTAGTATAGAAGTATAGTAAATAATATTATAAAGAGGAAAGATTTGTATTTTTGTATGTATTTGATTCACTTAAAAACTGGGCCGATTTGAAAAATTCTTTCACTATTAGAAAGGTAATTTATCTGTGAGTAACATAGGCTATATTTTTATTATTTTTTAGTTTCACGCGGACGCAGTCGCGGGCGAAAGCTAATATATATATAAACTATATTTTAACGGCATTTCTTCAAGAATTCCAGCACTTCCTGAGGGTAGTTCTGTCTGGTTGTTGATTTGATAGCAGATCTGGCATATTCCAGGGGTGTCACCGAACTGAAAATAAAAACAACATTGAATTAAAAAAAAATATTATATAATAACTGGATATATAGGAAACTAACTGTTGCTCGCGACATCGCCCGCATGAAATCTTACTAATATTATAAATGCGAAAGTTTTAATGGATGTTTGTTAGAGTTTGTAGCATAAACTGCTGAACGGATTATAATGAAATTTGGTATAGATGTAGAGTATAGTCTGGAAGGATATATAGGCAACTCACTTATGTTTTTTTTATTTTACGCGGACAGAATTGCGGACGAAAGCTTGTTAATAAATATATCTTTTGTTACACATACATTACCTTTTAAATTGTGAAAGATTTTTTAAAATCGGCCCAACTTTTAAGTAAATCAAATACATACAAGCATACAAATCTTTCCTCTTTATGTTACAAGTCCTCATGGAATTAAAAAAAAACAAAAGTGGTTAGCCTATGTGTTCAGACTATCCTCTACATCTATACCAAATTTCATCGAAATCCGTTCAGCAGTTTAGGCTACAAACTAACAAACATCCATCTAAACTTTCACATTTTTAATAGCATAAGGTGGCAAACGGGCAAGCGGTCACTTGAATCCGCCAAAATAGCGAAGCGACTGCCCATAAACATCCAATTGTAGCGCTGCCTACCCTTCATTGACGAAGGAGACGCACATAAAGAGGACATTTCCCCTTCCTATGCATCTCCACCGTCAAATCCACTTTACCTTCCCATTCTCTTATAAGAAAAGAGTTGTAAAGGGAAAGGAACTTAAATTAGACATTATTATGACTATAGACAAAAAGTAGTAAGCTAGAAGAAAAAAACAATCTCATGTTATATATTTACCTTCTATTCTGCGCGTGGGCAAGTTTCTTCCACATTTTCCTATCAATCTGTCTGAATATGACCATTAGCAGACGGATATCGCACGTCGCGGAGTTCACAGCTAAATGTACCGCTGTGTCACCTCCTTTTACATCCTGTAACAACATTTACAACATCATCATCATCACCACCACCACCATCATCATCATCATCAGAGGCACTACAGCCGCGGTATGCCTGGTCCAGTGAATTTCTGCATATCGACCTATCTTGGTTTTTTTGTTTCCAGCCCTTGATAACTAGCTATTGCCCGCGACTGCGTCCATGCAATCTATACTATTATAATAAAGCGTAAACATACACTTCTTTGTTGCCTAAGATGTTAGCAATTACACCATATTTTTGAATAATCCTTTTTTAAATAAAAAGCCCTACACTTACGTCACGCTTTAGGCTATATATTTTCACGCCTTTAAATTTAGGGTGTAAATATTTTGGATAAAAACTCTAATGTGGGAAACCATAAGTTGCTGCCAACATCAAGGAAGCAAGTTTGCTAAAGTTTGTGATGTCATGTCATTTTGACATTTGGTATTGATAATTTGACAAATGTGAACAATAAAACTTTTTTTTTTAATTTCTCACGGATGAAGCCGCACGGGAACAGCTAGTATTAAAATAAGTCTTTAAGCTTGTCTATGTCAGCTACCCTTCAGTTAAAATCCAAACGAAATCGGCCCAGTTGTTTCGTAGGTTATTTGGAAAGAAACGCGGCTTACGGACAGACAGACAGACAAATTTAAATGCGATTTTCATTATCAACAACGTATACACCTTCCCGAAATCTGAAATTTCTTTTGATATTACAAACAGACATTTCAGATAGATTTCTAATCTACAGGTCTTGGGTTCGAATCTATATAAACAACACATGCAATTGCTGACGTCTATGGGGAGTATTTTCGCCGTTTTGGCGAATTCAGGTGGCTATTTCAATTGCCACGTTACGGTTTAAAACTCACCCCTTTCCATACATCAGCCCCGCCGTGTTGCAACAAAACGTGCGCTGAATGAAGTCTGGGTGAATCAGCGCTGTGCAGAGTACAAGCTACATGCAACGCCGTGTAGCCTGGAAATAAACATCGAAATACATCATCTTACTAATATTATAAATGCGAAAGTTTAGATGGATGTTTGTTAGCGTTTGTAGCCTAAACTGCTGAACGGATTTCGATGAAATTTGGTATAGATGTAGGTCACATAGGCTACTTACTTTTCTTTTTTTTTATTACTAACGGACGGAGTCGCGGGTGAAAGCTAGTATTATAAATGCGAAAGTTTAGATATATTTGTTAAAGTTTGTAGCCTAAACTGATTTCGATCAAATTTGTAGACATAAGGAGATAGTCTGGAAAAACACATAGTATACTTAATTTTGTTTTTTTTTTTAATACCACGTGGAAAGCCGCGGGTAATAGCTATTAATCCTTAAATGCATGACAATGCATTTATACATCAGTCTTTTCTTCCTTTCATATTAGACTATTTTGAAAAAAAAAGAACATTTTTTTTTAATTTCCTTTAATCTATGTTCAATTTAGTACCCATTTTAATTTACCTATACTAATATTATAAAGAGGGAAGAGTTGTATTTTTGTACGTATTGAAATAACTCAAAAACTACTGGGCCGATTTTAAAAAATCTTTCACCATTACAAAGGTAATACTTAATTTATCTGTGAGTAACATAGGCTATATTTTTTAATATCACGCGGGCGAATTTACGAGAAACAGCTAGTGGTACATAGAAAGAAAAAAAGTCCTTACCATCAGTATTAGTATGGTGTACATCAAACAGCGGCATATCACCATCTCCTCTCATCACTAATTCAAAGAGAACATCAGCACAGATATCTCCAGCTCGTACACAAGCTATCAGCAAATTATCACCTAAAGCATCCACCTGAAAGAAAACAATTATGGGGCTGTCCATAAATTACGTCATCGATTTTTTCAGACTTTAGACCTATCATCCTATCGTATTTCTTAATGACCCCCCCTTTTACCAAAATTGACGTCATTATCAGTTTGTCGAAATTAAAATATTGCAGATTTGAGAAAAATAGGCTATCATATGATTAAAACACTTGGTTATAGAATCACCTTTATTATTTTTACTTGTACGAGTATGTTTATTATGAGTTATTTTAGTATTGTACGCGCATAGCCGCCTCACATTTGCAGTCTCACTTACTAGGTGTGCTGGAAGAAATTTCTTTTTAGAAATAATCTTTTTGTACGTGAATAATAAACTATAAATGACGTCAATTTCGAAAAACCCCCCCCCCTCCTATCATTTACCGTCATCCGAAGACCAACCTCCCACCTAATTTAGAATTGACGTAACATATGACTATGGCCTAGTCACCCCTTATTAGGGCAGGCTCCGAGCATCTCGGTGGAGACATATAGTGAGCTGGTGATGAATATATGGACGGCCCCTATACCAACTAGCTTCTGCCCGCGACTCCGCGTGGAATTAAAAAAGTGAGTATTCTATGTGTCCTGCCAGAATATCTTCTACATCTATACCAAATTTCATCAAAATCCGTTCAGCAGTTTAGGCTACAAACTAACAAACATCCATCTAAACTTTCGCATTTATAATATTAGTATGATTATAAATGCGAAGTTAATATATGTTTGTTTGTACCCTAAGCTGCTGGGATCTCGATGATTGTCATACATGTAGAGGATATACTGAATACATAAGCTTGCTTTTGCTTTTTGACCGACTTCCCAAAAGAAGGAGGTACTCAATTCGTCTGTATATTTTTTTATGTGTGTTACGGCATAACTCCGCCGCTAGTGGACCGATTTTGATAATTCTTTTTTTATCCGAAAGGTAATGCTTGCAGGTGGGTCCCATTTTTTTGTTTGATTTTTGGAGTCAAAGACTACGACGTAGTTTAATAGTTTTTATTAAACTCGGACGGAGTCGCGGACGAAAGCTAGTTTGGTATATCTTTCAATTGCAAATGCTTAAATAAAAACGAGGCCTTTGACAATGATAATTGCCAGGAATCTTGTTTCTTTGCAAAAAAACAATTTCAAATTTCTTTCTTCTTCTGTTTTAGACAAAAACTATAAGCCAAAAGGCTTGTAGTTTTTGTCCCTTTCTAACATTACATTTTTTCAGCCTCGTCTATAATTTTTAATACTTATTAATAATATAAATGCGAAAGTTTAGATGGATGGATGAATGTTTGTTAGTTTATAGTCTAAACAGCTGAACGGATTACAATGAAATTTGGTATAGATGTAGAGGATAGTCTGGAAGAGCACATAGGCTACTTATTTAAGTTTTTTTTAATTCCACGCAAACGGAGTCGCGGATGAAAACTAGTATTTCACAAATGTCTGTGGTTAAAATAGTATATTTTAACTTTTAACTCGAGAAACTTGACAACTGATATAGTAGCCTTTCAGAGAAGTTTTGTCTTTTTTTATAACATAAGGTGGCAAACGAGCAAGCGGCCACCTAAATCCGCCAAAATGGCGAAGCGACCGCTGCCCATAGACATCCGCAATTGCAGATGCGTTGCCTACCCTTATCCAACAGACAAGGATACGCACATGAAGAGAATATCTCCCCTTCCTATGCATCTCCTCCGTCAAATCCACTTCTCCTTCCCATCCTCTCCTTATAAGAAAAGGGTGGTAAAGAAAAAGGGACTTAAATTAGGCCTCCGGTACCACACTCATCAGAGAAACACGGGATTTCTTCCACTTCACGGCTGTCTTCTGAGTGGTCGTGGTATTACTGGGGGCGTGCCCTGCAGTGCTAAGATGTTAAAGCGGGCACTATCACCTTTTTTTTTCGAAGGGGAATGCGTTACGCATACTCCATGCCTCTGGGCAGACACGTGAGTTATGTATGACTCTCCCCCCATAATGGGGGGCATACCTCACTAAACCCCTTCGTTCCCTCCTGGCCATTGTGTGGGACGCTACGGGATCGCTTGCGCTTGCCACCGCGACGCCCCACTGACCGCCCCGGGGAGGGGCCCTCGTTGCGTCCCAATAAATTGGGACTCTGCGCCCTAAGGCGCCCCTAGGGGCACTACCACCTGGATTGTCTATTTATAATTTAAAAATCTGTGGTTAAAACAGTGTACTTACCTCATGGAACAGATATTCAGTCCCGGGCGGGGGCGTGTTGTGTTTCAGTGCTGTACGAGCACATTGCACCAAATATCTTATAAGTAAGGGACGCTTGTAGCAGCGCAGCGCTGCTACCTTGATGAGGCTAAGACCTGGAATAACACGACTTAGTTATATATTTTTATATTACTAACTGTTCTCCGCGACTTCGTCTCCCTGAAGTTAAAAAGTATATCCTATGTTACTTATTAATAACTAAGCTTTATAATGGTGTTGGAATTTTTAAAATCGGACCAGTAGTTTTTGAGTCATTTCAATACATACAAAAATACAAATCTTTCCTCTTTATAATATTAGTATGGACTAGCTGTTGCTCGCGATTTCGTCCGCGTGAAATTAAAAAAATATCTCCTATGTTAACTGACTTTCTAACGGTGGAAGAATTTTTAAAATCGACCCAGTAGTTTTTACGTGAATCGAATACATACAAAAATACAAATCTTTCCTTTTTATAATATTCGTATAGATATGGAAACAAGCAATTAATAAGATAAGAAATGAGTATATTAGAGGAAGTTTGAGAGTAACCCCAGTGGTAGAAAAGGTAAGGAGTAAAAGGTTAGCATGTTATGGGCATACTTCTGAGCGTTAGTGGCTCAGTGGTTTAAGCACTGACTTGTAATTTACAGGTCTGGGGTTCAAATCCCGCTGTACCAATTTCGTATTTCGAATTTCATATGTACATAATTTACCCGACGTTCTTACGGTAAAGAAAAACACCATGATGTACATATCGGCGAAGAAATTCAAAGATATGTGTAAAGTCAACCCGCAGTGTAGGTTGACTATGACCTAGTCACTCCTTAGGGTGGGCTCCGAGTTCCTCAGTGGGAACGTATAGTGAGCTGGTGATGATGATGAAGGTGTCACAAACGTGATGAATTGGATTACAACTTAAAAAAATAAAGTGTGTTTTATACAAGTATTTAGGACCTCTGCTTATGTCATAAAGAATAAGTACTTACCAAAATCACTGAGGAACAGCACAGACTTTTGGGCCATGACCCTTTCACAGATGAGACTGAAAAGGGACATCTGGAGGTCCTCCTCTTTGTCGCCAGAGGAGAGACTCAGCAGGATATGGTGTAGTACCCTGGAAACAATATTATTTTCTTCTCAGTTCTGTTCTTTAGTTCTTTATTAAGATATATTTAATTACTGGCTGTGGCTCTCGAATAGAAAACTAAATTAGTAGACAAATATCTAGATAATTTAAGCTCTTTTCATGAGACGTAGTAAACAAACATCTATCTAAACTATTGCATTTATAATATTACTAGCTTGGACACGAGACTTCATCCGCGTGTTATTAAAAAAAAAACTGAGATGTGTTCTTCCAAACTATCCTCTACATCTGTACCAAATTTCATCGAATTCCGTTCAGCCGTTTAGGCTACAAACTCTAACAAACATCCATCCATCTAAACTTTCGCATTTATATTATTAGTAAGATTAGAAGACTAGCCACCCGCTCCGGCTTCGCACGGGTCTAAAACCATACGAAAATGTTTATATACATTAGAAACCTCGAAAAATATAAAAAATAAATTAATTTAGGTTAAAATCAAAAAATAACAAATAAATTAACATTTAAAATAACAAAAACGTCCAAAAGACAAACATTTCTTAATTTATCAAGGCAAAACCACACATTGACTTGTGAATGGGTGTCCATAAATTACTATAAAAAATCGGGAAAGTTGCAAGATATTTCTCATTTAAGTTGTAGGCATTTTACAACTAACTGATGCTCGCGACTTCGCCTTAAAAAAAGCCTATGTTTCTAACGGATAACGTAGCGTTTTAATACTATTAGTATAGATATAATAAATCAAAAGTCCTACATTCAGCAGCTGGAAAGTGAACTTTCCGTTATAATAGGTCCAGCCGTCTTGCAGATTACTTGGAACAAACGTGAACATCTTTTTCATTCACATTGACAACGGATATAGCAATATGTAACCTAGATTTCGCCTGCAACTCCGAGCGCGTGGAAATAAAAAAAGTAGCCCATGTGTTTTCCCAGACTATCCTCTACATATAGACAATCCCCGAGATCCGTTCAGTTTAGGATTCAAACTACCAAACAACCATCTAAACTTTGCATTTATAATATGACTAGCCTTGTCACCCTACAATTCAATTTATACCTGAACAATATACGTCAATGGCGTTCTATTTCAGTGCGGTGATGTTATTATGCCGCCATTTTTAGAGTGCATTGTAAACATTTGGCGCCAAAACAAAACAAACCTTAGGGGCCTGTCCCACAATTCTTGTATATTGTCAGATAACAATTCAACGTATAAAAAAATTTAATGGAAATATCGCAATTTGTTACCTTATCTGACGGTGAGGTCATTTTTAAGCTATCTGAGCCTCTATCAGCCTGTGTTGGGACAGGCCCTTACTAATATTATGATCTTACTGATATTATTAACGGTAAAGTTACATGGATGTTAGAGTTTGTAGTCTAAACTTATAACAGATGTCGATGAAAATTTTGAATTTAGTTTGTTTTTATTTTTAATTTCAAGCGGATTCGCGGGCGAAAGCTAGTCTAAACTAATATCATAAAGATGAAAGGTTTCTATTCTTATCTGTACTATTATAATAAAGCGTAAAACACACTTCTTTGTTGCTTAAGATGTCAGCAATTACAGCATATTTTTGAATAATTCTTTTTTTAATAAAAAGCCCTACACTTACATCACGCTCTAGGCTATATATTTCCACGCCATTAAACTCAGGGGGTAAATATTTTGGATAAAAACCCTAATGTGTGAAAGAGACCATAAGTTGCTGTCAACAACAAGGAAGCAAAACAGTCAAGGTTTGTCATGTCATGATATTTTGACATTTGCTATTAATAATTTAACAAATGTAAACAATGAAATAAAATTTTCACAATTTCATACGGATGAAGCCGCACGGGAACAGCTAGTTTTGAAATAACCCAAAACTAATTATCTTTCTAACGGTGAAAGAATTTTTGAAATCGTGAAATTGTTTTTGAGTTATCAATACATACAAAAATACAAATCTTTCCTCTTTATAATATTAGTATAGATATATGACTTGTAACTCAGTTATATTAACAGATATTAAAGCTTCTTACTGTATTATAGTGTAACAGAGAACACGAAACCGAATCTATTGTCTCTTTCTTAAGACAAGAACAACCTGCATACTATATCTGTTAGTCCACGACCTTGATTGAAAACGAAAACATCATAAATATAGTTGTCCCTTTCGTTTTAGTAGAGAAAACTCGTTTAAGAACAAAAAACCGTTTTCCTTTAAGAACAAAGATAAAAAACTTCAAGATTCCAATAAATTCTTTGACGTGAACAATAAATCGAATAACATTGTCATATAAATTGTTCTTAATAAGGTTTAATTATATATTATATCTTGTGTACACAGACCTCAACAAATGGACAGGTTATAAACAGTAGTATGTTTTTATCTATACTATTATAATAAAGCGTAAACACACACTTCTTTGTTGCCTAAGATCTCAGCAATTACAGCATATTTTTGAATAATTCTTGCTTTAATAAAAAGCCTTACACTTACGTTACGTTTAAGGCTATAAATTTACACGCCGTTAAACTTAGGGGGTAAATATTTTGAATAAAAACCCTAATGCGGGAAAGAGACCATAAGTTGCTGCCAACATCGAGGAAGCAAGGTTGTCATCATGTCATTATGACATTTGCCATTGATAATTTGACAAATGTATAATCTTACTAATCTTACTAATATTATAAATGCGAAAGTTTAGATGGATGAATGGATGGATGTTAGCGTTTGTAGCCTAAACGGCTGAACGGATCTCCATGAAATTTGGCACAGGTTTAGAACATAGTCTGGAAGAGCACATAGGCTACTTTTTATCCCGGGAATAGTTACGGTTCCCGTGGGATTCATTAATTTAGTTTTTTAATGTTTACTCGATCATTCTGCAACGGTTCTACATATCTTATTGAAATTTGGCACAGATATAAAATAAAGTCTGGAGTACACATGGGATTAACTTCATTCCCGAGAAATGTCCGGTTCCCAAGGGATACGTAGCTTTTTGTAATTTATATAGTTCGTATGTTTTCTAATACCACGCGGACGAAGTCGCGGGCAACAACTCGTAAACAATAAAATAAAATTTTCATAATTTCATGCGGATGTAGTCGCACGGAAACAGCTAGTGGTGAAATAATTTTTCAGCTTTATAATATCATTAGAGTAAAATCATAATAGTAAATTCCTTATACATAAATACTAGCTTTCGCCCGCTACTATGTCTTAAATTAAAAAAAGTAAGTATGCCTATGGGTTCTTCTAGATTATTCTACCATATATGCAATATTTCATCGCGATCCGTTCAGCAGTTTATGCTACAAACTAATAATCATAAACTTTCGCATTTATAATATTAGTAAGATTGGAACTAACGTATAACATCTGATGCAGCCAGATCTTAGTTGTCGATTATTGGTGGAAACAGGTCTTAATTTATTTATATTGCATGCAACAAAGGATACAGTCAAGCCTTATTCTTAAACGTTCGTTGGTAGAATGCAAATGGTTGATATTATTACGTGCAATTCCTTAGCATTTTCAAAGAATTTGTATTGTTCACATTATTGTTATCTACACTAAAAAAATAAAGCGTAAACACAATACTTTGTGGCGTAGGATGTCAGCAATCACAGTATATTTTTGAATAATAATTTCTTTAATAAAAAGCCCTACACTTATATCACGTTTTAGGCTATATATTTTAACGCTATTAAACTTAGGGAGTAAATAATTTCGAAAAAACCGTCATACGGGAAAGTGGCCATGAAGCTGCCAACATTAAGGAATCAAGGTTATTATGGTAATGGTAATTTTGACGTTTCCAATTGAAGATTTGACAAACGTAAACAATAAAATAATTTTTTTATAATTTCATGCGGATGAACCACGGCAATAGACAGTTTATGCTTTCGTAAACGCTGCATTAAAAAAAAGGAATTAAAAAAAGTCAGTAGTAATAGTAGAGTTTGCCACAAACTCTATTGCCCTCGACTTCGTCCGTACATTATTAAAAAAACAGTCAAAAAAAAACAAAAACTATCCCTCGGGAAATTGACATTTTTCAGGTATGTGTCATTTCAGAATTTAATTAAGATCTGTGTCAAATTTCAATAAGGTATGTTGAACAATTGCAGAATTATCGAGTCATGAAAAAACAAAATTAGTGTAACCCACGGGAACCGTAACTATCTCTGGGATCAAAAGTAGCTTATGTTTTTTAAGTCAAAATAGTATGATGGCTGTACATTAGTAACTTATTTGCAAACTATTGTTTAAAAAAAAATTAAAAACTCACCCATACGCCGTGTTCAAATCCAAATTGGCCACTTTTACGGACAAATTCTTCCTTACATCTTTCGTCAACTTCTCAATATGTTCAAAAAACATCTGTCTACAACTCTTCCTATTACTCTGGCAGCAAATCTTCTTCGAGAAACCCAAAGATATATCCTTCTGTAAATCCTTATACTGCTTCATAGTCATCGAAGAAGTTGATATTCTTTCCTTCTTCGTTCTATCAAAATCATGACTGGTCACACATTTGGGGAAATCATTCACTTCGTATAAATCTTGATATTTCTCGTGATCACTATTGTATAATGGTGACGAAAGTTCTGGTGATAGTATATTATATGCATCTGAGATGGGACTGGTCATACTTTCTGAACGAGGAGGTGTTGGGAATATTGATTTGTCATTTCTAGTATTATCCTCTACATAATCTGATATAGAAGCTAATTCTAGGTCCGTAAACTCTTCGTATGCAGTATGATCAGCTGTTGAGAATTCTTCTATAGGATTTGGTTCCGGCTCTTTTGTTGGGTAAGATTGAATCACGTCGAATTCTTGGATTATCTCATCTTCAGGGAAACCTTGTAGTATGTTTGTCTTTTCTGTTTTCGCGAGAAATTCCATAGCAACCAGCCAGTCCCTTTCTCGATCCTGTTCCGAGTTCTGTTGGAAATTCTGGACATCTTTGTCTATTTGTTTCAATACGGTTGTTATATCCGGTTGGTATTCTGATAGTGCACATTTTGTTATTACATGACCGCCTGATAAGGTCTGTTTATTTACTTGAATCTGAAAAATACAATATTAAGATTTAATAATATTGTAAGAAAACCGTTATAAATAGATATATGTCATCGAGGACTTTTCTGTAGAACTTTTTGAGATCTACAATTCCTTCATACATCATTTATTAATAGTCCCTAGATATTACTAATAATAAAATATAGCCTATGTTACTTACAGATAAATTACCTTTCTGATGGTGAAAGAATTTTTAAAATCGGCCCAACAGTTTTTGAGTTAATTCAATACATACAAAAATACACATCTTTCCTCTTTATAATAGTAGTATAAGTATATAGCAAAAAAATATTTTTCCGAAGGGAATAGTAACTGGCATACTTGTATACAAGCTACTGGTAGCTAGCTTAGTACTGGCATGCAAATAGCACTATACAGTAGAACCTTGATAACTCAAACCTCGGTAACATAAAAACCTCTATAACATAGACCCTTGATAACTTAAAACCTCTATAACTTAAAATATTTTTTGTTTCCCTTGGAATTTAACTTATCGCGGTTCTACTGTATTTTATTTTGCGATCTACGTGCATATAAGTTGAGGAAAGAGTCTAGGGTTACGAAGTTGGCTACTGGTACATCCCGTCTCATAAGATTATGAGAACATACGCATTGCGCCAGCTCTTGCGTCAGTTGCTGGAATTCCAGCTACTATCCTATTTAACTGTCATGTGTATTTCCGATGTCAAAAGTATATTAAGGATAAGGATTTTATTAAAAATCCGAATAGAATTTAAAAAGATATTTAAAAATATATAGACGAGACTGGACAAAATTTGTTCACCGGTACTTTCTCTGAAAGGTACTATATCAGTTGTCAAGTTTAGTGCCGTCTCGTATTGACGTGTAATAAAATCATACTAATCATACTAATATTATAAATGCGAAAGAAATGGATGGATGGATGGATGTTTGTTAGAGTTTGTAGCCTAAACGGCTCAACAGATTTCTATGAAATTTGGTATAGATGTAGAGGATATTCTGGAAGAACACATAGAGTACTTACTTTTGTTTTTTTTTAATTCCACGCGGACGGAGTCGCGGGCGAAAACTAGTAATTTACTAAATAAATTAATAAGCTAAAATAATAAGCTCCATCTATTTTTGACCGACTTCCCAAAAGAAGGAGGTATTCAATTCGTCGATATGTTTTTTTTAATTTTTTTTTGTTATAAAATAAACTAAACAGTCTTTAAAAATACAAACATTTAAATATTATTTAATCTATATATATACTTCTATACTAATCTATATCTATACCAATATTACAAAGAGGAAAGATTTGTATTTTTGTACGTATTGAAAAAACTCAAAAACTATTAGGCCAATTTTAAAAATTATTCCACCGTTAAAAAGGTAATTTATCTGTGAGTAACATAGGCTATATTTTTTTAATTTCACGCGGGCGAAGTCGCGAGCAACAGCTAGTATAATAAAAAGAGGAAAGACTTGTATTTTTGTATTTTGTATTTTGTATGTATTGAAATAAGTCAAAAACTTCTGGACAGATTTAAAAAATTCTTTCATTGTTAGAAAGGTAATTTATCTGTGAGTAACATAGGCTGTTTTTAATTATTTTCATTTCTTGATAACCAATTAAAAATACAATTTATTATAATATATTGACATGTGGTTTTGAAAACCTATCAAAAAGCGTTAGTGATGATTTTATGAAAAGTATCTCAAGTGAATTACCAACAATGCCTCCTCTATATACTTTTTGAATCTCTTTGTTTTCAACATTAACAGCATAAGGAAGAAAAAGCCGCTTACCTTGTGTTAGCAGTATTAATCGCATCAAAAGATTACATTACTAAATAAATTGTTATTTGTGTAGTAAAACTAGCTGTTCTCGTGCGGCTTCATCCGCATGAAATTATAAAAACTTTATTTTATTGTTTACATTTGTCAAATTCTCAATTGCAAATGTCAAAATTACCGTTACAATAACCTTGCTTCCTTAATGTTGGCAGATTGTAGTTTATGGTCCCATTCCCACTTGAATGATTTTTTCCAATTTAATTACCCCCTATGTTTAATAGCGTGAAAATATATAGCCTAAAACGTGTCGTAAGTATAGGGCTTTTTATTAAAGAAAGGTTTATTCAAAAATATGCTGTGATTGCTGACATCCTACCCCACAAGAGTGTTGCATTATTACAATAGTACGAGTATAAACGTATAGATTTCACGCGAAGTCTCGGACAAAAGATATTAAAGACTAGCTTTCACCTGCGACTTCGTCCGCGTGGATTAAAAAAAAAAGTGAGTAGCCTATGTGTTCTTCCAGACTATCCTCTACATCTATACCAAATTTCATCGAAATCTGTTTAGCCGTTTAGACTACAAACTCTAACAAACATCCATCCATATAATTTCGCATTTATAACATTAGTATGAGTATGGACTATGATAAAGAATTTACAGTTTCCATTAATAATTTTGTTCTATGTTAAAAATTTGCTATAAAAACACATTCATTAGCATATTTACGATAGCGTTGGTGTAGCTCGGCTATTTGAATTTTTAGAGCACATTATCCGATTTCTAAGAAATGACCTTGAGTTCGATAGTACGAGTAACTTGCCAAAAATATATTTCCAAGTAGAACGTTTGGCAACGAGAGAATAAGCTTACAAAGGGAGTTAATTCTGATTAAAAGAGATATATGGAAGAGTACTTTTTTATATCATAAAGTGGCACGAGCAGGCTGCCACTTGAAGGCGCCGTAATGGCGAAGCTACCGCTGCCCATAGACATTCGCAATAGCGGATGCGTTGACTACCCTTAATCGACGAAGGAGGAGACGCACATAAACAGGATATTTTCTTTTCCTATGCATCTCCTCCACCGTCAAATCTAAGTTCCCTTCCCATCCCTTTTTTAAAAGAGTGGGAAGGAAAAAGGAGTAATGTTAGGCCTCCGGCACCACACTTATCAGATTGTACGTGGAATTGCTCCCAATTGTCGCCTGTCTTGTGTATGGTCGTGGTATTTCTGGGGGGTAACCGACTATAGTGGGAAGATGTTAAAGCGGACTCAACCACTGTTGACTTTGTCACAAGGTAAGGATAAAGAGAAGATTAGTGCTTGTCAATAGATTATCTTTGCAAAACCTGATTTTTTAAAATACGCTAACGTCAGAAAACAAAATTGAAACTACCAGATCGACCTAAAAAGTATTCTAAGAGCACTTTTGTTTTATATTTCGCGTTTCTATCACAATTTGACGCATTGATTTAATTCTGATGAAAAGCAGGCTAGGCATTATTTTTGTAAAATGTTTTGAAACGTCAAACAAGAGCATAAAATTAGACATCATAGTAGCCGTCACAGAAGTTATCTGTAAAAAATGTTGTTCACTGTCTAGTCTGTTTTATTGTCTTTGGTGAAAATAGAAGAATTTTCTCTCACCTGGGTACCATACGGGTGTAATGAAGTTCTGCTATCCACAACTTTGGTTTTCGTCGGTCCTCTGCTAACGTACACAGTCTGTACTTTCTTCTTTTTTTTCTCTTCGTCTTCTTTCTGTATCTCGTCATCGTCTTTAGTTACTTTCAAATCTTTCAACGATTCTATCAACTCATCTTCTTTATCTTCCTGTGCCTTTTCTGAATAACCACTATCTTCTGAGGAGTGAGAATCAGTTCGTACGGGAGTTCTGTCTTCATCTTTCACAACTTTATAGGTGAAGTTTGCTAGTTCATCATCTTCTTTGATGTCTAGTTTCTCTAATTTATCCAAGAGTGTGGTCACAGGTGTCACTTCAATCGGTTTGCTTTCTTTTATCTCTTGTTTCTTTTCTTTCTTCTTTTCCTTTTGGAATAGAACCTGGAATGGTTTCTTCAGTAGATTTTTAAGTGATTTTTTCTCGGAGTCCATTGGTATGTTTTGTTTTTCGTGTTGTCCCTCTGCACTTCCCATAATTAGGAGGTGATTCAACATATGGATTCTTTCACGTCACAGAAACGGTAATCTGGAACAAAGAGGAGTTGCACTTTATTGTCAATAGATGGCGTTACACTGTACATTTATTGTTTTGAATTGCGATGTTAAGATTTTACTCTCGATAACAAAAGTAAAATAAAAACGTATTCGTCAGAATTAAATGACGATTGTAACCGGTGAGTAATTTCCAGGAAATTGAAATCAGGCGATAAAATCTTTATCTAGAACAAAAGTCATGTTTTCTTATGACTTACAATTATGTGCTTCGTCGGGGCATTTTGTAACTGTTAGTATATTTCACAAGAAAAATAAAAACAAGTATACATGTATGACAAAATATGCAATTGTGGCTTTACATAGTATTGTCATGATAGTTGACATCTTAAGTCTTACAAATCTGTACCTATACTATATTATAAACAGGAAAAGTTTGTATTTTTGTATGTATTGAAATAACTCAAAAACCACTGGACCGATTTTAAAAATTCTATCACCATGAGAAAGGTAATTTATCTGTGAGTAACGTAGTCTATATTATATTATTACTAATGTGTAGGAACTATTAATAAACAACGTGTTTCGCGTTAAAAATTCACTAAACTTTTACATTTATCGGCTTACGCTGCCTAAAACGTTAGAGGTATAAAAAAATTATGTAAATAAGAAATGTAGATCTCAATAAGTTCTACAGAAAAGTCCGCGATATCATATATCTATCTTTAACGGTTCTCTTACAATAACCAATTTTTTGTTTACAAAATGAATTAAAAACCTTACGCTATTTGCAGCGTTCTTTAATTGGTTTCAAAATTAATACTTATCCAAATAAATGCGTTTGTTATCAGGATTTAATGTAGAATAAAATTGTCCTTTCCAGTATTTAAATTGGATTAATAGTTTAGAAGATATCGCAAACACAAACAATAAGTGTAACCGAAAAATCAGCTTAGAAGCTTAGAAATTTGGAATCTTGCATCGGTAGATTTCTGTTATTATGTAGATTAATACTAAGTAAATACTTTTGGTAATAGGTTAAAAAAAAGGGCGAACGTAATAGGTTATAATTGTTATTTCACGCGGGCGAAGTCGCGAGCAACAGCTATTATTATAAATGCGTAAGTTTGAATGGATGGATGTTTGTTAGAGTATGTAGCTTAAACTGCTGAACGGATCTCGATGAAATTTGGCATAGATGTAGAACATAGATATAGAGCGTCGGTGGCTCAGTGGTTTGAACACTTGACTTGTAATCTACAGGTCTTGGGTTCGAATCCCGCCATGTACCAATGTGATTTTCGATTTTTCGAATTTTCATATGTACATAATTTACCCGACGTTCTTACGATGAAGGAAAACATCGTGATGCAACCGGCACATATCGGCGAAGAAATTCAAAGATATGTGTGAAGTCAACCAACCCGCACTTGGCCAGCGTGGTTGACTATGGCCTAGTCGCCGCTTATTAGGGTAGGCTCCGAGCCCCTCGGTGGGGACCTATAGTGAGCTGGTGATGATGATGATGATGATGATAGAACAAAGTCTGGAAGAACACATAGGCTACTAAGTTTATTTTTAATTTAACTGGACTTTCACTGGAAGGTTACTGATGTCTATGGGAAAAACTTAAGCAACCACGGTAACGGTAAAGAAAAATCTTCAAGTAATCCAAGTTAATTGAATAATGTTTGCCTTTATATTTAGTTAATGGATTTATAAAGAATTCTCTTAATAGATCAAACAACAGCAAATACGAGGTCAAGGTGTATTTTATTTGGTAAAAACATACGTAAGCTTATAACTGTAGACTTGAACATACTACACTTGTCTCTGTTTTCTCAAAAAGAGAGAAAGGGATGTCAACACAAGTGTCGCGACATTCCAAGTGAACGGTAAAGATCGTACTCGTTCGTAGATTTTGTCAGCTGCCTCGTGACGTCACACGTTAACGTGACGTTGACGTGACGGTACTTCCCTCTAGACAAAGTGACTTTCGATAAGCGATATCGATATATCGATGGGTTACTGAACTAAAATTTATGACCAGATTGCGTCCGCGCAGTATTAGAAAAACATATGAACTAAGAAAAAAAAGAAATAGGCTACTACGCCTCGAAAACATGACATTGTTCAGGGATGATCGTTAAAACATGTTACTCCAGACTTTGTTTAATACCTGTGCTTTTCAATAACATATGTTGAAACGTTGCAGAATCATCGAGTAAACGTGAAAAAATGTAACCCACGGGAACCATCTTTCGGGTTTAAAAGTAGCCTACATGTTCTTCCAGACTATCCTCTACATCTATGACCAATTTCGATATTCGGTCTGGAGTTTAGGCTACAAACTAACAAACATCTATCCATCCATCTAAGATTTTGCATTTTTTATAATAAAAGGGGGTAAACGAGCGGCATGAACACCAAGATGGTCAACGACGTCCATAGACATCCGCAACACCGGAGGAACTACAGATGCGTTGCCAGCCTTTGAGGAAATTGTAGGCTCGCTTCTTATTAAGAGTAAGAAGTAAGATCAACTCAAAGTTCTCACGGGTTAAGCAGATAAGTGAAACGGCTCAAAGGTCAGGTAATTTAAACCTGCGCGAACAGTTTGCGGGTCCGCTGCCAGTTATAAGTACATCATTGAGCTGAGCTGTTAATTTAGTTGTTGAGTGGCAGTTCCGTGGTTCAAGGCTGTGAATTGATCCGTTAAACAGGTCATAAGCAATCAGAAATGATTTAAACACGTAAGCACACCAAATGCGCGTGATAGTGGTAGAGCTCGCTTCAATATCTTCGCACGAATAGGCCGGCTCGCCAGGTGTAATACCACGACTACACAGAAGACAGGCGTGAAGTGGAAGCAATTCCGCGTTTCGTCAAAAGAGTGTGGTGCCCGAGGCCTAATTTTAGTATCTTTCCCTTTCCATCCTTTTCTTAAGAGGAAGGGATGGGAGGGAAAAGTGGACTTGACGGTGAAGGAGACCCATACGAAGGGGAAATGTCCTCTTTATGTGCGTCTCCTCTTCTATCAATTAAGGGTAGGCAACGCAACTGCAATTGCGAATGTTTATGTGCAGCGGTCGCTTTCCATTTCGGTGGATTCAGGAGGGCGCTTGCTCGTTTGTGACCTTATATTATAAATATGTAGTATTCCTTTCCATACATATTTTTTAATCGATTGTTACTTTGTTCTAGGCAGTTGCGAGTTACGCTACTTATAACTCGCACAATTTCAGATTTTATCACACACGTATGAAGCATGAACACAAACATTTAGAAGACTCATGCGAACACACTCATGTTGAACAGTGGCATGACGTTAGACGTAATATTCAGTTTTAGTCATAGTCTAATTTTGTATAAATACTTATCTGGCCTGAACGTGATAAGGCGTTAGTGCTGTCACGTAACCAACTTAAGCTTTTCAAACACGAGGTGATGTAAATATAAATCTACAGATTTTAGTAGATAAAGCCTAAATCGCACTAGAGTAACTCATAACCACAGCATGTTTTTGAATAATCCTTTCTTTAACAAAAAATCAAACAAAAAAATGGGACCCACCTGCAAACATTACCTTTCGGATAAAAAAAGAATTATCAAAATCGGTCCACTAGCGGCGGAGTTATGCCGTAACACACATAAAAAAACATATAGACGAATTGAGTACCTCCTTCTTTTGGGAAGTCGGTCAAAAAAGCCCTACACTTAAGACACGCTTTAGACTATTTATTGTTTGTCTAAATAAGATAGATTAGTTTGATAAACGCATATGAAGTATCGAATTAAATTTGTATGAAGGCTAATGCCATACTTAATAGACAGGTATCGTAGTGAAGAAACAAAGACGCAGCGAACAGCTATGAACTATCGATATTCGGTTTAAATAAAATTAACTAAAACTATTAATTTCTTATTAATTTATTGAGAGGATAATTCTAGTATTGATTATTAGTGTAGTATTTAGCGATGACATCTGGAATGTTTCTTTTGATACTACAAACAGGCACTACAATTTTTTATACGTATAGAAGAAGGTTCTACATGTCAAAAAAACAGTGTTTTTTTTCATTCATAAGTTATAACAATGAATCTATCGTTTCCGACTTCTATAAGAATAAAAATCGAAAAGATTCATGCCTGATTTTACACAATCCATTCCTACTAAATTGTCAAACTAATCAATCTTATTTAAACAAACTACAGACGCTATTAAACTTAGGAGCTAAATAAGTAGTTAAAAACCTTCATGTGGGAAAAGGAGCATAAGCTACAAGCTGCCAACATTAAAGAAGCAAGGTTATTATGGTAACGGTAATTTTGACATTTGCAGTTGAGAGTTTGACACATGTACATGTAATATAGGTGTGTTATTGTTTTTTTTTTTTAATGTTTTTAATTGTAAATAGGTAATAATTTTAAAATGTAGTAATGATTGTATTATTTTATATTGGGACTGTTAGTATTGTTTTTGAAATAAAATAAAGTAAACAAGGTCCTTGGATTCACCACGCCAGGGGGAGAACGACGGGGCGGCGAAGAGAGGCCCATTAAAAAAAAAATATAGGTGTGTTGATGAAACGGCGGTTGGTACTGGACTGATTTATTATGAGTGAACTGACGGTACATTATATTAAGGTACCCTCATATATACCACAGTACACAATAAAATAATTTTTATAACTCCCTCATTTGTCAAAATATGACGCTTTTGATGACATTGTATTTCACAATTATTGCCAACTGCCATAATCTTTTACATATACACAGTGACACTTGTAAATTTCCATCGTTATACCAACTCATTTATCTAAATTACTACAGTAAAAGACTATCTTTTTAAATACCAGAAGGTATATAACATATTTAGATAAGATTAAATCTATATAGATAAACTAGCTTTCTCCCGCAACACAATTAAAAAATACAAAAGTATTTAGCCTATGTGTTCTTCCAGACTATCCTCTACATCTGTGGAGTCACTTTTATTTTATAACAAGGTGGCAAACGAGCAAACGGCCACCT